GTGAAGTGTATTTCGTCTTACCCATTGAAAAAAGTTTCTGCAAGCTTTGGTGATGCAGATTTCAGCGCGTGCAGCACCACGTTTGTGCAGAGGACTTGCTGTAAAGGATTGGGAAAGGGCGTGCTCTGTTCCCTTCACCCAGGACTATATGTGCTGGGAGGCTGGGGGCACCCGGAGCTCACCTGCAGGGCAGCCCCCAGCCTTGGGGGAGTTTGGGATGAGGCTGGGATGGGGCTGCAGTAGGAATGGGGATGGGGTAGGGATGGGGAAGGGGATTGGGATGGGATGGGATGGGATGGGATGGGATGGGGAAGGGGATTGGGATGGGATGGGATGGGATGGGATGGGATGGGATGGGATGGGATGGGATGGGATGGGATGGGATGGGGTTGGGTGGGATGGGAATGGGAACAGACACTTGCGGGAGCGAGGGACATTCTGGCCAAAAGCTGCCTTCATCCTGCGGGACTTGAGCTGAAATCCACTCCCTAGGTGCTGCTTGGCCAGCTCCAGACAGCAGTGCCCGGGAGAGGGATGCCCCCAAAATCCTGCTGACGATGCATGCGAGCCACCTGAGCTTGCACAGAGCAGGATCTGTCTGCAGAGGCTGCTGGCTGCGCTCCCCACCCAAGCCAAGCCCCCCGCGGTGTGTCTGTGCGCACTCGGGGTGGATTTTGGTGCTGAGCAGCACAAAACTCCGGTCCTCCGGGGCCGAGGGAAGCCGAGCGCAGATTTCAGGTCGTGCAGTGACATCTAGTGTGTGCCGGGAGCTGGCGGCCGCCCTGCGGGGACACGGCACGGCCACGGGCATGGGCGCACAGCCCCCGTGGTGGGCTCAAAGGGATGGAGCTGTCACCTCCCTGATGTGTGCGTCCTCACACCGCATGTAAAGTTCGCTGACACCTGGTATCCAACCAGTGATTTTCAGCAGAGGTGGTGGCTGTCCTGTTTTCTCCTGTTCTTGTCCCACACGCTTCATCTTCAGATGCCAGCGCAGGAGATGCCACCGTGCAGTGCGTCTCCTTCATCTCCCTGTGTAATTCGGGTGCACAGCCACAGACATTTTGTCGGATAATACCCAGGAGGATCGAAAGCACAATCCCAAAGGGCTGCCTGGCCCTCCCCGTGGCTTTGAGTGTGCAAATATTTCCTTATTTCTTGCTCAATGGGACCTGGGGACAGCCCTAAACCCAGCCTGAACCCATGGTGCTGGCATGAGCCACGGGGGCCAGGGCCTGCCATGCCCGAGTGGCTTCCCCTGAGGAACAGAGCACAGAGCATGGGGATCTCCCCAGGGGATTTTAGAAAACTGTTTGTTGTTGTTGTATTTTATTTAATTTTATTTTTTTACTAGTGACTTCGTTTGTCATCTCAATTTGTTCTATTTTGATCAAGGCAATGAAAACAAGGCTCCGTCTTCTAAACTATTTTATCCAAGGAAGTGAGAAATTGTGTATTTATAAAACATGCCAGTCAATGGATGCGTGGAACACGCTCTGTTCCATTCTGGGTGTATTCCTCTGGTAATTAGCTATAAATACAGTCTCATTTGGTGACTGATTTTAAGTGTATTTATTCTACTTAGATGTGGAAAAATATTCATGTTGATCAGCTCCCCCGAGGCCTTCATCAGGCAAGCTTAATGAAAAGAACAGACAGGTGCTTTTTATGAGAGCCTTTTTTTTTTTTTTTTTTTTTTAATTTATAAAAAAGCTTGTAACCATCCCTCTTTCATCCTGGCCTCCAGCTGAGAGCCCATGCCGTCAGCAGAGTTAATATCTCACAACAGGACCCTCTGGGCTTCTGAGTGTAAATATTCACGGCTTCATTCTCCTCCCTTTTCTTATAAAAAGCGCAATAACTGATTATGGGAGCTCGGAAAATAATGCCATGAATTTACAGGGCTTGATTCAACTCATACATAGTTAGGGTGATGCAAACAGGAGTGTGAGAAAACGGAGTGACATCGGTGCCAGGCTGATGCAACTGGCTGCCCCTTGGATATGTGATCTTTTTACAGAGTCCAATTCACCTGCAAACATCCCTGCTGTGGGCATCCCTGCTGCAGGTCTCCCTGCAGAAGCGGTGGCTTGTTTCCCCGCTGCAGGTTTGCTTTGATGATCAGCTCCTTCACCTCTGCAGCACTGCCTCAGGCAGCAAGCGCTGCTGGGGGGGTTGCCAGAGCACCTGGCCAGATGTGCTGCACGGGATAATTTGTTCCCAAAAGATTGCAATTACGGAAATGAATATATTTACTTCTTTTTCACTGAATAAAGCCACCGGGCTCTGTGCTCGCTCTAAACTGTCTTAGCATGTAATTTGGCTGCCTACTGGGATGGAGGTAATTAACGACAGAGGGGGAGACAGCTGTACCGATTGGATATGGACATGACACAAAGCGGCACGTCTCTGTGTTACAGAAACACTTTTCTCTGCTAATCCTGTGGGAAGTGCGAATCAATGCCCTCACCAACACAGCAGCAGTTTTCGGTGCCCTCCGTGAGCTTACAAATCACACCCAGGGAGCCAGCCCTCGCGGGACAAGCCTGGTTGGGCATGTGCAAAACCAGGGTCTGAGGAGAGGTGCAGGCGTGGGGCGAGCACCGCGCGGTGCCAGACGTGGCTGTGCAGTGGGACTGAGCTGGGGACATCACCCCCAGCCTCCTGGACATTCACAGCACGGCCACACAGGGCCAGCAGAGCTGCCTTTGGGCAGAGAGGCTGAGTGCCTGGGCTGGGGACCGCGGGGGTGGCACCTGCCTGTGCCTTTGTGCCATCGGCGGGCTCAGGTCTGGCCCCGCGCAGCACTGCGTGTTCATTAAAAGCTGCTTTCAAATTAAGTGGACTTCAGCAGCAGTTTTCTCATCTGAGTTACTGGTTCTCGGGCATCAAAGGCATTTAAGATGTTTCTCTATTGAAAAATTAACCGAGAAATGGGTTTGTGGAGGCTTCTCAGCATGCACAGCAGTGATGCTTCTTCAGGGTCAAGACCTGCAAAGACGAGTTTACAAGTGATGCTTTAATGAAACCACTATTAGCATTTAAATGGGAAGGCATTGACCAAATTTTTAATAAAATTACCCCTAAAAGGGAGCTTAAAATAAGCATTCTAAATTAAACCAATTTCCTCAAGCTCAAACCGGAAAACCTTCGGGTGATAATGGAGTTGAACGAGCTGAAATGCAGGAATGCTAATACACGAATCAAGGAGGAGAAAATTGCCTTCCTTGACGGAGTTAGCTGGGTTTAACTGTACAATTACAAGGTGTGGGCATCACCACAGCCCACTTGGGCTCCGCAGGGACTCCTTTGCTGTCCGGCTCCTTTGCTGGGGACAGGTCTGGGTTGTAAGCACCATGCAGAGGGGACAGGGGCTTTTTGGGTGAGAACAAGTGCCAGCAGGCAGCAGGAGTCCCGTGGGAGGGCTGGGGCTGCCCACACAGCTGCTGCCTCCCCCAGCACAGGTGTGGGGCTTTCTGCAGATAGCAGCCGGGCTGTTATCACACACCGTGCCTCTGGTGCTGGCAGCTGCAAGCAGGTCTCTTACTCTGCTGCTGGCAGATGGCACTTTGCAGTTCCCCCGGGGTTTGGAAAACATCAGAGGTTGCTTTCCTTAAAATGGTATTTCTTTCTGCCTTGCTTTTCACCAATAATTGATCCTAATGTGTTTTCACTTCATTTCAACACCAAGTTTTCATTGTGCCTCTGCTCCGTAAGGATTCAGACCCATTTTCCTGTACCCGTTTGCACTCCTCAATAAACATTTCATTTCCCTGCAAACCTCCAGCATGCAGTACGAACATGAGAAGGATCCCTGGGAGCTAAAACCATCCCCAGCTGTGATGTCCCCAGCATGTGTGCTCAGCAGCCTCCAAAAGCATAAGAAATACGGTGCAAACCAGGCTTTCAGCTGTAAAAATATGATTCTATCCTTCTTAGGTGTTAGTGGTAGACCAAGAGTGAAACAAATTGTGGAGAAGTTTTTTGGAAGATTTTGTTTAAGGGAAATATCTGCCACTGTTCATCAGAACTTTTGCAAGTTATTGTCAGCCACAAATTACCAGACAATATGTCAGGCTGTGCAGTCTGTCATAATCTGATGATGTTTAGTCAATGTTTTCCTTAGCATTTTAATACCTCAGCATGCCCTAGATCACAGGATAATGGAGCAAAAAACCCTGTCCTGCCTTCTCAGGGTCTGGTAGTGTTTTCTTATATAATGAGCAAATAAAAAAGCCCCGCATGCTTCACCCTCTGTGATTTAATGATTTAAGGGCGGGCGCATTTGTTAGGCAAAGATCCTGCCTGGCCTGCCTGTGCTTTCATGCCACAGCCTTGTGTGAAGCTGGTGGGAAGAGAGGAGACGACCAGAGGTCCCCGAGTGCCACCTCCTGCTCACAGCAGCTCCTCCAAGCCAGCACCAGCCCTGATTCATGCTCTACAGCATACAGGATCCCCGCTTATAGCAGCAGATGAAGGGATTGAAGTGGGAAGGCTCAGCATCCTTCTCGAGAGTACTTGTCTAGTTGTTTACATTTGTTGTAAAATAGCATTTCCTCCTCCGCTGTCTTTTTTAAGCTGTCTGATTTTTGAGTTTTCAACAGAAACCTTTTTAATAAACTCTCACAGTGTGACCTTATAGTGTGGAGGATGTGTTCTTGCTTTAGAAGTACAGTGCAGTTCGGAGGTATCTCTCCCTGAATGATACACCCCCAGAATCCTCCTCTGATTTCTCTCAAACGCTGTCAGTCTGCCTCTGCTAAGCGAGATCAATTCCCAAATCCATCCTCGAGGAGCACTGCTGAGATCCTTCCTCCTGCTCATCACTACTTGCTCTTTTTGCACACCCTCGAGGTATTTTGGCCAATGCTGTGCCACTCACCGACCCCCTTTGTCCTCCTTTTGCAATGAATCCCACCTAGCAGTGCTATAATGGTTTTGCAGAGGTGAAAGCCCACATTCCTGTTGCTGGTGTGTGCTGCAGCAGCAGGGCACGTGCAGCCTTTTTCTCCATCATCCATCCACCTCTCCATGTCAGCTAAAGAGCTGTTTACGAGGAACCACCTGAAATCAAGGGCAGCAAGCCATTAATTGAGTTAAGGACGTTGGGCTGTGCCAGGACACCCAAAGCAGTCGTGCTAGGGTCTGGGATGCACCCTGGGACACGATGGAGGGGGGATATGGAGAAATAAAGTGGAGGTTGTAGATAGGAGTAAAACATTAGTGAACAAAATCCTGGGTAAATTTGGTGAAGGGAATACTGACACTGTTTGAAAGTGTGAGTGAGTATTAAATGAAAAAAATAGTTGGGTAAATACAGCAATACTTCCTTTTTCCCGAGGAAGTTTAATTGTGTTAGTGTTTGGTTCTGCTTATTCAGATTGCATGAGCTGAGGGCTGCAAGGGATGGATCGAGACCTCGCCTGCTCCCGCAGTGCTGCTGGCTTGTGGGGTTTGGAGGGGAATGGCAAAAGGACAGGGTTGTTCTCCGAGTGAGTGCTCCTCTTTGGCTGCCCAAAATAAAGAGAGATTTATCCCTTCAAACTGTGTTCTCTTCCACTGCACTGCCGCTGCCTGAAAGGGGGCAGTGAGGTGAGAGGAAGCGAATTTCACCTTTCTAATAGCATTTTTAACATCTGTTCCTCACACAGCTAACTGTGGCTCTGCCTGCAGAGTCTGTGGTAGGGTGACTAATAAAAATGACTCTAGTTACCGGATTAAATTTCAGCCTTCTGAAACAGTGGATCAATATCTTGATGTTTAGAGGAACAAGTCGTTTAGAAGTTGAGTAATGGCCTAGCAGTCTCGAGATGGGAAAAAGCCAAGAAAAAGCCTGTACTTCTACTATATAGCTGCTTCCTCTGGTTGGTAAATGGTGGAAGAAGTTAGAGCTCAGGGGAAAATGGGCTGCCCTACAGTGCACGGGAGCTCAAGCGCAGGAGCGGGCACTGGCTTTACCTTGTGATCAGGGCAGGAATTTTCCACAGGGTTTAGAAGGAAAAAGTCAGTGCCAATCTTTCAACTCTATTGATCGGTGAGCATGAAGCATCTTCTGAAAGACTAGATAAAGCACTAGATACAGTCCTAAAGTACTTTCCCGTGTAGGAGAGAGTCTTTCTTGCAGCTGTAGGAGCTCGCAGCTTCCCGGGGGGAGTGTGGGCAGTGCTGGTGTGCCGATGTGCCGTGTGTGTGCCATGTGTGTGTGTTTTGGTGCCCTGCCAGCAGAGCCAGGTGAACACTCAGCCCTTGCCATGGGAAGCAGCACATCTAACACAGTGTCCAGGAACTGCTCCGGTAGCCAGGGGACAGGAGCGTGGCTCCTGAGTGCTTCCTACATCTGGGTGAGATGCTATTCCTCAATAAAAATAGAATTTTTAACCAGCAGTCTTGGAAAGCACTTTATACCACACCATTAGGCTAGCAGGGCAATAAAAACATTTCTTTGCCTGTCCAAATGTAAAAAGGAAAAAAAGAAAATCAATCTCTCTGGAGCCAGTTGTTATTTAATGTTCTTACTTTAGCAACGTGGCTCAGGCTGTCATGGGCGAAGTTAGCTTTTTGTGGTGCTTGTTCCAGGAGCGGACAAAGGCATTTATCTCCAAATTGCTTTCACCTAAAGCCATCCTGACACAGGACCGTGGCCGGGGGAGCTGGGGGAGCTGCTCTGCTGAGGCCTGGGGTGCTCGGGTGCAAGAAATCTAAAACCTTAATCACATTTTTTTCTGTGCTCTCACAATAGATTTGTCGACACAGGACACGAAACAGCTGCAAAATGCAGTGCAATGAGACGGGGAACAGAGCTCCTTGTGAGCATACCTGTAGTGGGAGCTCGTTGCATCTCTCTTACTTGGTGCATCTCTTGGGGATTATTTTGCTCTTTGTCCCTAGATAATATTTATTATTCTGGTCAGAACCAGCCGAAAAGCAGAATGCAGCCTGCTTCTGAACCCCTGGCTGTTCAGAATACCTGCTCCTCTGCGCGCCAGCCTGCAGCTTGGCTTTCTGTCCTGACACTTCCAGCCTTCTGAACTCCAGTGCTGGAGCCTTGGTGTGACAGAGCCTCAGGAAGGACAGCAGGGCACACACTGCATCTGGGGAATCCACACGGGGAGGTCTGAAGACAGCACCAGGAGCTGCCGTGCTCAGTGCAGCCTCTTGCAGGGCTGCGAACACCCAGCACAAGTCCTCCCCGTGCCAGGGACACCAAGTGCAGCTGGAGCAGTGAGGATGCTCGTGTCCAGCCTACCCGCAGCTGGCACCAGTGTCCCCATGCCCCGTGCTCCAGCAGGAGCCCTGCCCAGCTCCATCGAGCCGTCCCATGCCAGAGGGCTTGCAGCTGGCTCTCATGAGTCACCTCCTTGAGCACACTGCAGCCTCTTTAAGTAGTCTGCGGTGGCAGCGTGAGCTGGTTTGTGAAGTATTTTAATAGCAGGCTGGCTTGGCAAACCTTCTGTGCTGCTCCGCTAATGACACAGTGCCAGACTGCAAAAATGCCGCAAAAATGCAGTGAAATCAATAGAGGAAGACAAAAGAGCAATCAATGCTTTATATTTACTTAATTAAATGCTATCTGATGCTCGACCTCTAAATCTTTGGGACTAGATTAGGTTTAATATCTAATGATCAGCCACGTGAATGGTATTGATTTAAAATCATGATGTTTAAGTGATCTGTTTTTCAGATATATTAAAAAAAAAGGATTAAAGCTTTCATTATTGCATATAGGATGGGTACTGGAGAAATTTTCAGGAAAACAAACAACTGTTTGGACTGAGTGCTATAAAGCTGGAGGATTTTGCTAAGATGAGTTTCTTTTGCAGCCTCTCTTGTAGTACTCCGATGCGTTTTTTCCCCTTAGTTTGATAAAGGCACTGCTGGAGCATGAGGAATACTGATGAGCACACGTCCAGTAAGACAGGCAAGGTAGGTCCTCTGAGCCCCACGTCTCTGCTGATGGCTAGGCACTTGCTAAAGAAGCTGCCAGCCTTAAAAGCTATATACTATCAGCCCTGTAATATCAGCTACAGTGTTTTTCCCCTGTCTCCCCCTGCCAGATATTGAAGGAACTTGAGCTGCGAGGCTGGTGCAGACGGAGCCAGCTGGCTCTTAGGCCTCCCTTTAAAAGTCAGCTTTCAATGGCCGTTAGAGCAAATTGAGAAGATGTGTGTAATGGCTTGGCAGGGCTCGATGCAGAAAGAAGGCTGGATAGTGTGTGAACAATGGGAGGTAAGTTTGTGGAGTTCTGTCTTTGCAAACCCCATGGACGCCCCTTTCCACTTTGCAGAGAGAGGGGCTTTAAAGTTGGACATTGTTAGAATACAGCCGCCTTTGCCATGCTATTATTTAACAAATTTAGCGTCTAACACGTGCGTTGTCCTCAGTTCTCCGTGCTGCTTACTGTGGGGCATTGTAGGGATGTACTGGTAGGTATTTTCCATGTTTTGGAAGTCCTTAATGCCAATTCTTGGCTACGACCATAGGTGCTTTTCTCAGGATGGCTTTCCATGGGTGCTACCATCACCAAGCAAAGTCAGAAAAATTGTTTTTCCCTCTCAAGGGCAGCTGGGAATATTCTGAAATCCAGCTTTTCTTTCTCAGAATTATTCAAATATTTGCCCATAATGCAGCTTCTAATGATGAGCTCTGTATTTAGCACCTTTTGTTGTCCTCTGTTTTCCTTTTCTTTTTACAGGATGCCCACGTTTTTGTATTTCTTTGCCTGAAGCCTGGGCAGAGCTTAGTGATGTTTGTATTCTGTATGTAATTATTTTACTGCAAGCGTTGCACAGAACTCCAAGAAGTCTTCTGTGTTGAAAGATAACTTCTGTAAAGTATTAGATACATAAAATTTGCCAGACTTGGAAACTTTTTTTGTGCAGAGTCTGTTAATTTAGCTGGTATGTAAGGAAACATGGTTTTTTTGGATGCTCTTATTGAATGAGCACATCCCAGGCTCTGGATTTTGGGATCAGGGTGCAGGTCAGGCTGGAAAGGGGACTGGAATTTATGTTTTCCTTCTCAAAAGGAGGAAAAAAAATCTGGTAAGAGTTGTGTGTGCTACTCCTGACAGATACCTTTCTGCATGCTGGTCGGAACAGAATACAGGAACAGGAGTTACACCGAGACCAGTCGCTAATAACCCTTTTTTCACACCTTTCACGCTGCTTGGGATTTCTTCCAGGATCCGGCCAGGAGGATGTAATCCTGCTGACATAGCTCCAGGCTTAAAATGAAATCAGTTAAGGATTTCATGATCTTCCTCTCTTTCCATCAAGTTATTCTGAAAGCGTGGAAGGAGGAAATTGAAGTGGTTGGATTTTTCAGCTGTTCCTCTCCTGTTACGCGTTTGTTGAAAGGAATCAGTGTTTTGCTTCTTGCACTCATGCAGAAAATATTGCCAGAGGTATCTGCTGTTTTACTACAGAGCTGGTAGGAACTGAGGAGTGCTAAGCTCAGCCTGTGCCTATCCTTCATCTTGCACAATGATCCCGAAGCACGATAAATGCCAAGAGAAGAAATTAAACATAAATTGAATTTTTTGGGGGTCTTATTATTTATGAGCAAATAAGGAAATAACTTCTAATAACCATCACAGGCATCTTATCATATTACTTAAGCACCATCCAAGTGAAGTGCTGTGCTCTCCTACAACCACCAATGTGTGTCCCATGAGCCCGATGCTTCAGATTCTCCGGTCCCAAAGGAACCTCACCCTCCTACAGTAATGTATCCAAGCACCCGGGCAGGGATTTTCATTTGTAGTGGCTTTGGTGTAAGTTCTGCCCCCCTGGGACACATTGCTCAGCGTCCATGGGGTTGTTTTGACCTGTGTGTGACAGCCTGTCTTGCACAAGCATTTCTCAAGCTCCTGTCTGTTGGGGCTGTGCGCAGCAGGGGTGCTGGTGTGCATGGGGAGCCCAGCGTGGGGCTGTTAGATGTGGGTGCTTTCTTTTTAGGCAATTTTGTGACTCCATCTGGATATATATTTCCATATCATTAGCTGTTTGAATATGCAAATAGCTATATTGGGAATATGAGAGAGGGCTGAGAGAAATGCAAAACTGGGATACTCCAGCAAGAAATGTTTTGAGGTCAGCCTGATGCTGAAATCGACTTTCAGCGGAGTCCAGAATGCATTCAGCATGTCAGTGGGGCTCTGAGATCTCCTGGAAAGGAGGGCTGTGGGAAACAGGCTCTTGGTGTGGCTCTTCTTGCCTAGCAGGTTATTAAATTTTCGAGCCACTGTTTTGTTGTGAAATAGCTGTATTGGAAAGCACTCGATTGCTAGCACATTAATGCAGCAAATGGAACTAAAGAATAACTGTAATTAAAGCATTAGGATACAAAGAGCCTTTCAAGACATTCCAGATGTATCCAGCCCTTGGAGAATCAGAGAATTTGGTTGCATTTACCAGCCTTTGTTGAGCTTGCTGGCCACCCAGATCTGGTTTTGGCAGGTCCATGCAAAAACCTTTCAGTGGCTTGTTGCTGCACATGGGGTCGAAACTGGGACTAGTTTCACCCCAGCAGCTGGCTGATGGCCTGGGCACTGGGCTGCAGTTCGAGGTGACTCTCCTCTAACTGCAAGGCACGGAAAAAAAACATTTTCTGTGCCTATCCTGCCCCTTGCTGCAGGAGTGCTCGTGTTGCTGGTGACAGTGGTGGTGTCTGAGTAGTGCCTCCTTGCCCACGCCTGCCCTGCTTCCCAGGCAAGAAGCAATTTATTCTCCTTTCCACCTAGTTCACAGTCCCTTCTGAGAAGAACTTGTCAGGTGTAATTGCACTAAATTACGTGCAGCAGATCGGTGCAGAAGCGCTGTCAGAGGGCCCTGGTCCATGCGAGCTGTTGGTGCAGCACCAGGCCAGGAGAGCCAGCGTCGGGGGAACTGGCCCCATGTCTCCTGCAGGCTTTTCACTGAAATACTTTCATTTTTTTAGGTGTGCTGCATAGCTTTTCTTTTATTTGCCAGTTACTTTAGCTTTCCAGCCAGTAGAAATAACACGAAGCTTAGTGGGAAAGATGTTAAATTCCTAGCTGATCTATGCAGCCAGCTAACAAGCTGAGCAGGCTGAATCCCACAGAAAGGCGGGCCACGAGCTGCAGTCCCTTCCACACACTCGGTTTAAGCCTCTTTTTCTCTAAATAACATTTTGAGGTGCTTTGCCTTGCTGTGGCCTCGTGTGCCCTGGTGCCATGGGCTCCACGCAGAGCCCAGGTCCCTCTGCCTCTCGGGAACACCTTACAAATCCCCCAGTGCTGCATTTTAACCACTCCATTGAGCACTGCAAACTCGAACTGATCAGCGGGCTGGGAAGTTGCAGGTGAAATCTGCAGGGCTCAGGCTGCTGCATGTGGCTGGCAATCCACGGCCACCCCTGCTGGGAGGGTTTTCATGGCCTGTGTATGAAGGAAATGTGTAAGAGAAGGCAGGCTGGCTGCACGTGCACCCACCTGGGGCAAAAAGTCTGGTCTCTAAGCAATCCCTGTACCTCAGTGCTTTGTGGTTTAAAAAATAAAAATAAAAAATCTGGTGAAAAGACACCAGAAGAGAACACTTTACTGCACCCATGCATGTGACTAGATACAAAGGCATAAAGAGAAAACATCTGTTCCTTCCCGACACCTCGCACAACTTGTGTTGTTTTGGTAAGGATGATACATACACCATGGGGACGCTTGGCCTATGGACTCCTCTACCCTGAGCAGCACTGGGTGTTCAGGCGCTATTTTGCACTAAAAATATTCACCTTCCATAAGCATAGGGAACGCTAATCCCATACAAGGATTACACTTCTGAGGGTAATATTTTACAGCATCCATAAGCTCGGATGCGTGGTGGGTTATCGCTCATCTCTGCTTCAAGAGAAAAGAAGGGCACAAAGCCGATCCCTCACTGAATTACCATTTTCAAAATGCACCTTACAAAAGTCCTTCCCTTTGTTACAGACAGGGCAGGAGTTTCATGGTACTGTAAAAGCAAGCTTCTGACTGTTTCATTGGTTTGGGGACTTTTATTGGCTTTTTCACTGTTACTTTAAAGTCATTTTTGTTAACATTTAGTAGTGGTCAGGGCACACAAGCTGTGCTGTCTGCCTGACCAAGCAAATCCCACCTTGCTGCTGCTTTTTCCTGGCTAGACCAGTGTGGGAGCACCTGGAGTGCAAATCTTTGGGGTTCGAACACACCAAACTCCCTTTCTGTGACCACACGCCTTGCAGTATCTCTCTGGTTGGCACCTGCTGCCAGCTGGCCGTGTGCCTGGCTAAATCCGCAGTGCGCTCCGTGCAGGTGTTGCTCCGATGGCACGGAGCTGCTGGGATCGTGGGCACGGAGCTGGGCATGGGGGCTGAAGGAGAGGAATCCATCTGTCCGGGTTTGTGCTGCTCCTGGTGTTGGCCCAAGGTCATTTCTTGCTCTGCACTGGTGTTACTGAAACTTTCTCATGATTTTTTTTGTGGGTCATGCAATAAGAGGCGCTGGGACAAGGGACGTGCCCAAGCAGCAGGGTGAGGTGACCGTGGGGCACTGCGGCTTTCCTGCACGTGGAGAAAGTGGGGACCAAAGGGCAAGAAACCTGGGAGCACTGAGGGCAAGGAGTGACCCACTGCCAATTAGTGATTTAATTCCCGTCCCCAGCGGAGCAGGGCTGCACCAGCATGATGCTGTGCTGGTGCTAATTAGCCAGGTTAATCCCCAGCATTAAATTCAGCTGTACTAATTATTCTGGGTCCTGTGCTGCAGCCTTGCTGCTGCCAGTTTCTGACCCCGTTTGCTCCCCCGTGGGCCCCAGCAGCACTGCATCGGGCGTGGGGCTGCCCCATGGGAACTGGCTGGCTCTGGTTGCATTGCCGTGGGCAGTGAGCACGAGGCAATTTAATTTTTATTTTTTTTATTTGTTCCCTCAAGATTCCAGCCAGCTGGCTTTGTTGCAGGTGGGCAGTGGTTTCACCCAAAGCAGAAACTGGAATGCAAAAAGCAAATGCATCTCATACTCTGGAGACAGGCTCACTGGGGACCGGCACGCGAGGAGCTGCAGCCGCTCTCAGGGCTGACAGGCTTAAAAATAACCCGTAAAAACCCACTACCTGTGGGTAGTGCAGAATAAATGTGGCAAAGGGGTTTTTAATATGCACTAGCACCCACCAGCACAGATGCTGATGTTACGATGGTTAAGCAATATTAACTTGTAATCTCGTAATTTTAGGTTCATTGCCTCGCAGTGTGCAAAGCCCACACCTGCCAGAAACGCATTTAAAGGGAAATTGTAGCACGGGTCCCATTTCAGCTTATTAAGCCAGTGAGTACTAATTATGTTTTTTTTGTTTGTTTTGTGTTTTTTTTTAATTATTATTTTTTAAATGGATTTCTAAACAAAAGCTTTTTATTTATTTATTTTGCAAAGAAATTGCAACCTGCTGCTGAAGGAAGCAGAGCTCAGGTAGTGCTTCTGCTACCCCAAATGGGCAGGCTGTACAGCTGCCCCCACTGTGCCTGGTCCTGCTGCTTGCCCCGAGCCCTGGCACACCTCATGCTCATTTACTAAAGATCAGCAGCACCCGAGCTGTGTGGGGATCAGAGCTCACCTCTCCGCAAGACGTGTGTGCAGTGTTTTTCTAAGAAATGGTCTCTAGAGGAGCTGCTAGCCATAGCACTGGCTTTTCTCAATTGGCTTTGTAAATTTAGGACATGCTTAGAAATATTTTACACACAGAGGTAACCAGCTCCTATAAAGGAAGGAACCCACAGCTCAGAAAGAAGTACAAAAATTAGGAAGATGATCAAATAAAACATCAGGCATGGAGCTATAAGCATTAAATATTAACGTGAAAACTCCAGGACTGCAGCTTAGGATTTGCAAACACTTACGTGCTCGAGGAACTTTAAAAATTAAATTGACGAAACTTTAATATTTAAGCACTATGTTTAAAATTTAAGTGGTGCATTTCTGCAGAGCAGCGAGGTCGATGCTGGCGGGGGGACCCCCTCGGCGTGCCGCAAGGTGCTGCTGCCGCCCCCTGAGCCCCCAGCAGCACGGGCGGTGGGCTGGAGATGTTGAGGCTGGACTTCGAAGTCTGTGTGGGTCCTGTGCATGTTTGTTTTGTTGGCCTCTCATGCAGCACTGGCCTCTGGGATAAAAATGGACTTGGGGATAAAAACAGGCTTGACTTAAGGTTTTAACGCACGTGTTAAGACTATGGAAGACCTTTCTTATAAAAGAAAAAAAAAAAAGGGAAATCAGTACATGATACTTTCAGTATTTTCTGTTAAAACACAGCAAAATAAATATGCTTTTCATCCCTCTTTAATAATTTTCCAAAGAAACTGTGAAGGCTATAGGAAGACCTAGTTGGGGAAAAAAAAAAAAACCTTTAAGACTGCATGTAAATCTTTACTGGTGGATGGATGCATTCACCTGAGTACCAGTTTTGGTCTGTAAATGGGGGAATCTCCGGGCTCAGCACCTCTGGGACTCGTTCCTGGTGCTCACAGAGCTGCTCCATGCCCCACATGCACAGCACTGGGGCCAGGCAAAGGGCAGCACCTTGCACCACCCCAATGGGGCCCTGCCTGCTCCCTGGCAGTTGTGATGTGGAAGAAATATCCTTTAACACAGTACTGGCACTGCATCCCTTCCCCTTGTTACTTTTGATGCTACCTCCAATGGCACCGCTCTTTAAAGCTTTTTAAAATGTATTTATTTTCATTTTATTTTGTAAAGAGAAGCTTGGTTAGACAGAACACCTTAAATATCTCTTCTTTCAGCTGCGGTGTTTGTTCTGATGTGCCACTACCGCTGTGCTGAGCGGCTGTTTTCATCTCAGTAGGATAAATCCTAAATAAGTAATTTCCTTGTGAGAAGAGAGACTGCACTTACGCTGCGAGGAGGCTGCACGGAGTTGCTCAAGTCCTGCCCAAACCTCCCTGCTGGGGAGAGCAGCGCTTGGCACTCAGGGCACAGACCTGGAAAATAAAAACCAGGAACAAAATTTAGAGCTTGGGAAAACTGGGTATTAATAACGGTCAGCCTTATGTATGCTGATTTCTGTAAAAAGAGGTGCAATTTTATGGCCAGAGGCAAGCTAGCAGAAGGCAAGGCAGAGCCGTGCCAGAGGCATCGCCAGCAAGAGCATCCTGTGTGTTTTTATGGTTCTCTGATTATCAGGGAGCAGCAAACGATAACACCAATGGTAACAACAGGTTATACACAGCTCCTATGGGGAGCTTTACAGCTGCATTTTGGGAAGGACAAAAGAGATTTTCCACATGCTCACCTGCTAAGAGGGTGTTAACACTCTGTTCTCCCAGGTCCAACCCCAGCCTCTGCTGTACCCAAATTGCTTACCTGGGAAGGAATCAGGGACAGGTGATTTATTTGGGTATTGACATTCAGACAGCGAGCGGGTGTTCTTAATTTGATATTTGTATACAAAGAAGGACACACATGAGAGACCATAACCTAACTTTTAATTACGTGAGTAATTGCCGTCCTCGGAGCAGGCGTTTGGAGCCAGAAAATGAATAGTGTGAGTTATTTCGTCTTCTTAATTAACATTCAAAATGCATTTTTATTAAGAGTCAGTTAAAAGGTCGACTTTAAAACAGCTTCTGCCATTTGCTATCATTTTTCAAACAAATATGGCAAAATTGCAGCAGCTCTAGCCCTTTCAGCTTGCATATGGAAAACTTCTTCATTTAATGATGCTATGTCTTCATTCATTTGTCATTTTTAATTAACATTTGGAAGTAATGAGCAGTTGGTCTTTGCGTGGCAGATCTTAATGCTAGATTGCGTTTTCCTGCAAAAAGTTAAAAGGGAAGGTTATTTGGCACATTCCAGATTTTTGCTGTTTCCTGGCAGTTTCTAACTCCAGCAAAACATTGATCTTTGGTTTCCATTCTCCAGAAGTATGTTGGGGTTATTTGCACCCGCAGCTGAGAGCACTGTACGGTGTTTGTACAGAACCAGGGTGATAAGGAGAGGTAATTGTGCACGAGTACTTTGAAAGGACAAAGTTCTTGTACTTGGGGCAAACAGTGTCCGGACAGCACAGCTGAGCTCCCAGCTTTTCTCTTATCTTACCCAAATGCTAGAGCAATGCTGCTTAAATGCACAGGCCCAAGGATAAAAGCAAGCAGAAAACAGAACTGCAAAGCCAAAAATCAAACTAACAGCGCAAAAATACAGTACCTCAATACAAATTAAAGAAACAAAAATATTAGGGAGCAGAGCTGGCCTCCTGGTAATGAGCAAACTGAGCCTGGGAAACATCCATTTATTGCCTCCTGACTTTGTAATGTGCAAATCCCGGGACTGTGAGGAGTTCTTACAAGACTTGCAGGCTTGATCAAGAGTGGAAAATGTGCTGTGTATTCGTGCAGCAGCGAGCTTTCCGGAACAAAGAGAAAAGGTCAAATTGTATCTGAGCTCAGATTCTGAAACTTCAGCGTAATGCCGTTGGTAGCCTTTCACCAAAAGTGGTATTTTTTTCACCAAAATGCTGCACAGTTTATATAAACCAACAGAGTGCAAAAACACTTTGTTTCACAAATGTCACCATCTCAGGCTTTGGCCAAGCTGCTTCGCCTTTGTCTCCCACCCTTCTGCCACTCCTTCTCCCCACTTCTCAGGCATGAAGCCCAGCTTCTTGCCTGGGAAGAGGCAGAACCAGAGGGCTCTTTGGTCTCTAACCTCTCATGTGTTGGTTACACCGCATCTCCTTGACACTGTTAACTTGTTTTTTTACCCACATGATATCTGAATGCAAAAGACTTGTGCGTGGCTCTATGAATGTGTTTGTGCTTGGCCATGTTCATTACAATTTGGTCGTGGCTCCAAGAAGCAGCAGCTCGCTGGAGAGTGGTGGTTTGTTGGGGATCTGGAACGGGGCAGCACCAGGGCACCTCCAGCATCAGCTGTGACACCCCAAAAATCACACATCGAAGCTTCCCTGAGGATGGAGCCATGAAGGCAGCTTCTAAGAAGGATTTGGAGATGCAGAGCCATTCAAGATGCAGGGTTTCTTCCTTTTATAAATACATGTGTGTTCATGTGCAGATAAGATAATCTTTGAACCCAAGTTGCATTATTGTGGCTATGACTGAGGAGCTTCCCACCACCTTCATCTTGCTCCTGGAGGGCTGGTGTGCCATGGTTTAATGCGAGGCTCTGCATCAGGCTTCTGGGCAGTCTGAAAGGCAGCCTCCACTGAGGGGAGCTGCTTCCCAGTGCTGCCAGCACCATCCCACCCCAAACTGGTGGGTGGGAGGCTGCTGCCTGTGGTGGGCAATAGGAGAGGGAAAGCGACCTCACAGATCTTTGACTCTTCGCTGGCTCATCAATTAGTGAAAAACAGCACCCTGCCTAAGACTTTTTTTCTCAAGACCCTCAGAGATTAATCACATTAAAGTAGGTCTCATAAATAATTCACCACTGCTGACTTAATGCCTTTTTTGTGCAAAGGCCAATTATCAAAACAAACATTCAGCTCTATGTAGGTCCGTAAATGAAAAAAAGTCATTTCTATGACATGTAATATATGTTTTCATTTATAAATTGTACCAGCACATGCAACTTTAAGTGTCTCTCCCTCCACGCTTCTTTAAAAGGGTCCATTTTAAAAAAAAAAAAAAAAAAAAAGGAAGAAAAGGATGTGGTAAAAACCAGGCTGCCAAGAAGGACAGAAGAACTTTAAAGGTTATTATAGCTGGTTTTGTTTCCAGATTAATGGAACTTTATCCTAATGAAACCATTCTTTTACTGGCTCACGTAGATCCAACTTTTGCTCTTGTTAATAAAGCACCATAATTAGCTGCTCCGGACGGCTGCCTGGGAGGTTTGCAGTGCTCACCCAGGCACAGCATGCCGGCCTGATCCAGCCCTGGGGACCTCCTGGGGAGGCTGGGCAGGCAGCCTCGAGGTCTCACCACCCAGCATCTGCACCGATGTGTTAGAGTGGGGGTCCCAGGGAGCTGGAGGAGAAGGAACTGAAGAGGACCTGGTGGGTAAAAGCCCACGGGTGTGGGCTCCAGCTGTCTCCTCTTAGGCTGTTTCCAAGGATCTCTGACAAGGCCCATTCAGTGTAAGTGGTGTTTCATCAGGGTGGGATGCTTGACTGCAAAAGCAGCACGAGGTCAGGAAGCTCTCCTATAGCAGCAGGGTCAAGACAGGAGCTGCACAGACCCGAGCTGGGGGAATGGGTGGTGGCTCCTTGCTGGAGCTCCTGGGGAGGAGGCATCTCCAGCAGAAGGACATCTCCTGGTGTGACCTACTTTGCGAGGGCAGCCTGTGCATTTTGCTCGACTATTTTAAGCAATCCATAGTGCAGCATTGCCTGAAGAGGTTTTCCTGTGTATCGTTTTCCAAGAAAACACAATAGCAAAATTCTCATATAGTTTTCAAGTTAAATTTTGAAGTCTTGAACGGGTTTGCTCTGGCTTAATGAAAAAGGCTGTGCATAATTCATTAAATTCATTTCTGCACAAATTTGCATTTTTTCTTGAAAATATTTCCTCAGTTTTATAATAAACAACTCAAAGTTATAAATCCTAAATGCGCTTTGTGGTGGCGTTCATAAAAATAATATACTTCGAGTGCATTCTAAGCACACTCCTGAAAAAGCTCTTGTGGCTCGGGCACGTAGGCAGAACCTGCAAAATGCTCCCTGACAGCTCCCCGCAGCGGTTCGGGGACTTGCCATGGACCGAGCCTGTGCTGTATTAGATTATCTCACCGGCAGCTGACTTCATAACACACGTGGCTAAATCCCTCATCTATATGAAAGCGAGACCTGGATCATTTCAAATTTTAACCTAGAAGTGGGTTTGTGGAAAGGTACGTCTTTAAAGTTTTATGGCGTTAGTGCTCAATATTCAGAGAGCTCCTTTGACTTCAGTAAAAAGTGATGAGATTTGAGGGAACTTCTGCTTTGCTCGATGAGATATTCAGTGTGATTTAAGTGACTCCGTTGATCTTGCAGAAGAGTCTCTCAAACATTATTCACTCCTCTGAGAAATATGGGATTGTTGAAAGCCGTTAGATTTTTACCATTATTGTTCAGGTTGTCTTATAGAAGGATGGATTGTCCCGTTTGGCTGATCACAAATCAGTATCATAAACACTATGTTCTGTAATTGCATTTCATGTAATAATTTATAGTTTCTTTAGTAAGAATATGGCTTATGGCACATAAGATAGAAGCAGTAGACATATTTAGCTAATGGATTTTTCTAAGCCACTGCAAAAAATTTATTTGCATTATAACTTCTCCAAACCATCCATTTTTATACTTGTATCCATTTCCAAAGCAAAGCAAAATAATTTGAATCAAGTCCATCTGCTCCGGCTCAGAAGGGGGAGGGAAGGGGAAGGAAAGGCAGGTTATTTTACAAGTGAGGTATTTGGACGTGAGATAGGAGGATACTTTGCATGCTGTGTATTAAGTCTGGGCCAGGTGTGCTCTGTTTCCTTGCAGCCTTTCCAGTGGAGAAAAAGGCAGCACGGCAGAGTCCTGCACAGCTTCGCCTGTCCTGCTGCTAGGTGGTGGGTGAGCACCCCCAGCCCTCAGAGGGCTTTCCCTTGCATTATTGGCTTGCTGGACTTCCATGGCAAGGGCTTGCTGGTGCACGTGCTCCCATGAAAGGTGCAGGGGGTGAAGCTGCACCGTGTACCTTCCCTGTCTGAAATCGGAGCTAAGGAAATTATTCTGAGCTCCTCAGCTGCTGGAAGGGCTGCCTCCTCCATGCTGCACTTCAACCCCGTGCCTGCTGCTCCCAAAGGGCAGTTTTTGAGAAAGCCGCAGCCCTGCTTCTTAGCCTGACACCAAGCCCAGAAATCCCTACGGCTTTCACTTGGTGCCTGGCCCTGACATTTGGGTAATTGCTTCACCCTTTGTGTGGCTCTGTGCCTTCTCTGACGAGACGTTTCCTGGTTCAGACATTTCACTCCTGCTTATTAACTCTTCCTCTCTGGTCATGCTCAGTGCTACTCTGTCCATAATGTATTTGGGAAGGAGGTTGGCAGTGTGAGATACTGCCGATGAGAAGCAGTTATGCCACGCTTTGCTTTGGTCATTCTCTGTGGGATTGCATTTATAACACTGTATATTTATTGCTCAGAGGCGTAAGGGGTGGCACCGAACCCTGGTGTTGGTAGCTAAGCTTGATCTTTGGAACCTATCGATACATAGCCACCTAGCTCGCTCTGGTTTTATTTGACACAGCCAAGCTCATACCAGTAAAATTTTAGCTGTAGCACAGACGCTTTTGCACAAGTTGTTACAAGGTTTTGCAAAATGTTTGGCCTCATTAATATTTGCCAGAAACAGGGATGCTGTGCACACAAGCTTGTCTGGAAGGCTTAATTTTGTTTAAAAATCCAGACTAAGAAGGGGTCTCCAAGACGTGCTGTCATCTGTCACCGC